TTGATCTTTCAAAGAACAAACTCTTCAATTCACTGATTCTTTGTGTTGTTTACTTAGTTTCCATTGCATTAACTTCTGCTCTGATATTTATAATTTCCTCTCTCATATGAGCTTTGGGCTTGGCCTGCTCTTCTTTTTATAGATGCTTGAGGTTCAACATTAAGTTATGTATTTGACCTCACTTTGTTTTCCTAATATGGGTATTCACCCCTATAAATTTCCCTCATAGGACTGCTTTCGTTGTTTCTCATAAGTTCTAGTATGTTGTATTGTCATTATTGTTAAATTATAGAAACTAATTTCTTCTTCAATTTCATCTGCGACCTATTGGTTGTTTAGGAGGGTGTTATTTAATTTCCATGTATTTATGAAGTTATTGTGGTTTCTTTAGCCATTAATTTCCAATTTTATTGCACTATGGTCTGATAATATGCATGGGATAATTTCAGTTCCTTTGCATTTACTTAAACATGTTCTATGAGCTGGTATGTAGCCTATTTTGTAGAATGTCCCATGTGCAGTTGAGAAGAATGTGTATTCTGATGTTGTGGAGTGGAACACTCTCTAGACATCTACTAAGTCCCTTTGTTCAAAAGTTTGGTTCAGTTCTAATATTTCATTGTTGATTTTTTTGTCTAGTTGATCTATCTATTTGTGAGAGTGGGGCATTGAGATGGCCCAGTACAATTGTATTAGTGCTTATTTGATTTTTCAGGTCCATTAGTATTTGTTTTATATAGTTGGGTGCACTGGTGTTTGTTGCATATGTATTTATGATAGCTCATCCTCTTGGATTGTTCCCCTTACAAGGATGTAATGACCTTCTTTGTCTCTCTTAATCAGTCTTGGCTTGAAATCCACTTTGTCTGCAAATAGAATAGCTACTCCTGCTTTTTTCTGGGTTCCTATGGTATGGAGTATTGCTTTCTATCTTTTGAATTTCAGTCTATAAATTTCTTTTTGAATTAAATGTGTTTCTTATATGCAGTATATAGTTGGATCTTGCTTCTTGATCCATTCTACCAGTCTATTTCTTTTGATTGGTAAATTGAGACCATTAACATAGACAGTTATAACTGATATATATTGACTTATCCTTATCATGTTATTTTCCTATTTTTGTCTCCCTCTCCACCCATTTATTTGTTTGTCTTGCCTGCTGGATTCTTTCTGTTGGAGTTCATGGAGTTGTAGTCTTGTTATCTTTAGAATGTCCTTCAGAACATTTTGGAGTGTTGTTTGGCATTCATGAATTTCCTGGGGTGTTCTTTTTCATGGAAATATCTATCAGTTTTAAAAGATAATTTTGTGGGTCACATCATTCTGGGTTGCAGGTTGTTTTCTTTTATAGCTTGAAATATTTCACCCAAGCTCTCCTTGACCTGGGGGTTTCTGTTAAGAAAACTATGATTCTTTATAGAATCATAAACTATGATTCTTTCTTTCTTTCTTTCTTTCTTTTTTGTCTTTTTGAGACGGGGTCTCACTAGGCAGTTCAGATTGGCCTTGAACTCACTTTGTAGCCCAGGCTGGCCTCAAACTCATAACAATCCTCCTGCCTCAGCCTCCTGACTGCTGGGATTACAGGGGTGCACCACCAAGCCAGGATGAGAAAACTATGATTCTGATATACTTTCCTTTATAGGTGATTTTTTTCTTTTCCATAACAGCTTTTAATATTCTATTCTTGTATTGAATTTCTGGAATCTTGACTATTATATGCCTTGTTGTAGATTTTTTTATCATGGCTAATTGGAATTCTGTATGCCTCACTGATCTGTATGACAAATTTTTTTTCCCTGCTGGGGAAATTTTCTGCCGTGACATCTGTGAACAGGTTTTTTATATCATTTGTGCTATTTCCTGCTTTTTTGCTGACTCTAATCAATCTTATGTTAGTCTTCTTCAATCATGTTATTCATCTAGCAGCTGCTGCATTGATTTCTTGTGATCCCTTGCTATTTTTAAGAAATCTTTCTTTTCATGAATATTAACTGCAAACCTGTCTTCTGTGTCTGAGATTCTGTCCTTACATTGGTATTCTGCTGTTGATACTTTCATTGGAATTTTTAGTACCCTGGATATCTGCTTGATTCTGTTTTATGGATTCCATTTCTTTCCTATGTTTGGTATTCATGGTTTCCATCATTTTCCTATGCTCCTCTTTTTTAAACCTTTATTTGCTCTACACTCACTAAGCATGTTTTTTATTGTGGTCACCATTTCTGTAGTTATCTGCAAAATTTTTCCTGATGATTTTTTCTAAAGCCTCATTCATTTGCCTTGTTGCTACCACTTCAGAGAGACCAGGTAGATGGCTTTGGGATTGTTCCACCTCATTGCCCCTTGGGTTTGCCTTTGGTGCACCAGGTATCTGGGGTTGCATCTTGTTTGTCTTCTCATTTCCTTTCTTTTAGTTTAATTTGTAGAGTGATGCTTGTAAATTGCCTATAGTGGGTTGCTTTATTGCTAGTATTTAGAACCCTTAGGAAATGACTACATCTCAGAGGTGTCTTCCAGGGGTAGCTGGTTTTCTGGTTTTGAATCTGTTGCAAGTTCTAATCTCTTCATTTTGTTGGGGATGAGAAGTTGCTGTCTGCTTGGTCCAGCCTCTGGTGTTTTGGCACTGTGCCACAGTATTTTCTATGACCCTTAGGCAATCTCAGTCTTGGAATATGAGAAAGAACAGCTGTTTAGAACAGTTATGTCACTTTGGCTAAAGTAGTACCATTAGCAATAACAGTAGCCTCAAACATAGCCTAGAAAATGACAAACTGAGGTAACCATTAATTTGCCACCTTGAACCATATGAACTAGATTTGTAGTTATATAAACAAAATCCAAAACAAACCAGAAAATTGTATGTAGTAAATAAGCTCTCAATATGCTAATTTTATCCTCAGGGGAGAAAATTTAAAAGGGGTTAGGAGAAAAACAGAGAAATAGGAGAAGAGGAAGATATTAGAAGCAAGGGTGGAGGTCAAAGGAGCATCATGTAAACTTTGGGAAAGTGGTGCAGAAGACAGGGTTAAAAGAAAAAGGGAAGAACAGGACAGAACAACAACCACAAAAATACTAAAATCCACTTTCACATGCATATAAAAACAAAATCAAACAATGAAGAGAAAAAAAAAACCAAAAAACAAGAAAAGAGAAAAATAACTGTCCATTTCAAGGTTTGTCTCTGCTGTCACTGGTAGACAACATGTGGAGACAGAGTCCAGATCCATGTTGATTTATCCCAGCAAACCAGCAGTAGCTTTATTATGCAGTAGTGGACAATCTCAGTGAGCCTGCACCTTTATTTCTCCTGAAGTTTAGGTTGGTTTCTTGCTGTGAGGCTGGAACCAGACCTGTTCAGCCTGCAGCAGTCAGTGCACCTTCTGAAGGCTTGGACTCAGCTGAGAGCTGCTAGATAAAGCCAGCAGTTGTTCCAGGTTCTGAGCTTAGTTGGCCCCCCTCCAAGATGTCTCCTAGCCAGTCCCTCTCTCCTGCAGGATATCCAATCCTGCAGTACTCACCACCAGCCAGTGCAGTCCTCACACCCACTACTCACTTCCACTGCTGCATCTCTCTGTGGAGGCCTTTGGGGTCACCAGCAGTCACTGTGTGTCAGCAGGTTTGAACCAAACCCCCATAGTGAGTCTCAACTCAAGGAGAAGGCTCTGCCAGCTACCTCCTTCATTGAAGTTTCTCTCTTTGCTCTCCCAGAGGACTTCAATTCTCACTTTCCTGGGTCCAGGGGACCCATCTCCCTCTTTCTTCTCTTCCTCTTGTTGCTATACTCCACTGTCTGGACAGCAAGTCTCAAAAGCCACTTTTCATAAGATTTTCTACTAACTTCTTTAATAAAGTCTAAGAAGACCCTTGCCTCTTTTTTTCCTACCTACACACCCTACAGAATGATAGGTATATCCCTTATCAATGCCCAGCTCTTTAGCCTCTTTTTTTAAATTTTATTTTATTTTAAAGAATAAAAGAAGGATAACATAATAATAGGGGGGACTTAGCAAATTACAGACAAAATGGTAGGAAATTATCAATGGTTATCGTTTTACATATTATTATCTACAAAATAGTTTCTCAGGGAAACAAATAGACAAATAATAGTGAGTTAGAGACAAAAGAGGTAGGAGATTATCAAGAGTTGTTGTGCTATACTTTGGTATCTTCAAAGTGGCTTCTAAAGAAAATAAATAGAGCTATACATGAGTGACCTATTGAAAAATCATTAACTATTCTCAATGGTTGTTGTAGGAAACACATAATAATAAACATACATTATGAAACAGGATAGGAACATTACAAACTTAACACAGTTATGGATAGATTAGTAGGAAAATAGCAATGGCTGCTGTAATACGTGGTGGTATCTTCAAAGTGGTTTCTCAGGAAGACAGAGATATGCAAGAAGGATCTAATAAGTAGTTACAGCCTAAGCATTGTCAAAAATAGCATATTACCTCCTCACCAGTGACTCCTTTCACTGAGGTATGATGGCTGGAAGGAAGGCCAGGATTGAAAAGAAGGACTGAGAGACTTGCACCTGTGACTAGCAACAGGCTGTTTTTTTGTTCCTCCATAGTCATGATTACCCAGGACTCCTCGATGGAGATGATGGTCTGGCCAGAGGGAGAAGGCAGACCATGCCCCAAGCCCTCTCATTCCTGTTGGACTAACTGGTAGCATGGGTCTGAGCTCTGGGGCCTCCACCTCAGAGGGCAGACCGATCTCCAGTGGTCTCCTTTGCATCCAGGGCATGGCCCATGGGGCCTCTTAGGGCAGTTCCTCTTGAGGTAGCCTGGCTTTTAACAGTGGTAGCAGATGAATGCAGTTGTCGAGTTCTTCTTGGAGCCCCGGGAATCAGACCTGGGATCTGTTTCTCCTAGTGGTGCAGCAAAAGCAGCTGCTTTTTCTCAGTCTCTTTGTTTTCTCTCCTTGGCCTCCTCCTCATCATGGCTATAGAATACTGAGGAGGCAATTCTTACTAACATCTCAAGTGAGCTATCTGGGGTAAAAGCCATTCTTTGTAGCTTTTTCTCTGTCTTTAGCCTCTTTTAATAGCCATTTACCATCAACCTCTGTATCTGATCTAACATCCTTCTGATGGTAGATAAAACTCTTAGAATAGATCCCTAAGCCTGATGCATGTCTAGCCTCCATGAACCCTAAAGCAGGATGCTATAAGGTAACATCTGAATTCTCCAGAAGAGATTTTCCTACATTTCTGTAGCCCACCTGCCTGATGTTCCCACCAATGTAATTGGTAAGTATTTTTCTTGACTTATAATATTCTTTCACTCTGTGACTATAAAGACTCATGTAACTTCTGCAGTGGACTATGTCCTTCAAAATGACTTGACTCCATGTTTCTGGCTTATTATCACTCACATTTGGTTCAGAATAAACTACAGTGATACCTTGGCTGTTGAACAGCTCTAAACTCAAATTTTCACTACTTCAATGGCAAAGTTTCAAAAAAATCTGTTTGGTGTTCATAATTCAACTTGGAGAAACCTGTACGGGGCCGAGAGTGAGTCACAAGTCATGTGTTATATCTGGTTGCACTCACAAAGGGGTGATGCTACAGTCTAAGCTCTGCTCTTGCCCAGACAGTATATAGTGCTTGTATTAGTGTATTAAAACATTTATAATTGTACTGCCTTCTTTGTACTTTATGTGCATAAAATATCATAACAATGGCTTCCATGAAAGTGATACCAGCAGTAAAGCTAAAAGGAAAATTGTGAGAGCTACAATAAAGAAAGAAATTGCAATATTTGTTAAAAGTCCTGGAAAAATGAATTCAATTGTTTTTTTTCTGCGCCTCAGAATCAATTATTTGGTTTTCCATTATTTCTTATGGGAAAAATATATTTACTTCTGGGACTTTTCAGTGTTCAAACACAAATTTGAAATGAATTGAGTTCAATAAATGAGGTATCACTGTATCAGTGAACATGTATGATGCAATTTCTCAAAGTTCAGTTTACAAAGAAGGAACTTTAACAAATAGAATACCCCAATTGAGTCCCCCTGGAACTCTGAACAGTTGGTTGCTAGGTGATCAGCATAAACAGTTTTGGAACCTAAGAAACCAAAGGTCTAAGATATAATGTCCTGTTATACCTTGTTTCCCTCTAAGGACTGTGCTATTGCAGGGGGCAGGGAGGAAGCATTCTGAAAGTAATTTCAAAACACTACCTCTTTACCAGGATCTTAAAACAGTTAATTAGCATCAGCTAAATGGTAAGTTGAAAAGACTTTGTATTAGGTGTCAAAAGGGTCAGAATTACTTCAGATACCAACCAGAACTGTGATCTTAGTCAGGTCTCTTCTCTCTAGGCCCTGGTTTTGGAATCTGTAAAATGAGGGCATTGGAAAAGATCATTTTTATGGCAGCTTCCAGAGTAAGCTCTGGAGACTGCTATACAGCAGTGTAAATGCATATTGACAAATGGAAATCAGGAAGCAGAAGGGGAAAAAAAACAGAGGAAATTTGGAGAGGATGTCAGGTCAAATTTGAAGTCTGCAGGATGAGTTTGTGTTACTTAATCCTGCTGTCCTCATTAACCGAGCTTCCTTTACATGACCTACTGATACTCTTTACATGACCTACTGATACTCTTTACATGACCTACTGATACTCATAAATTTGATAACAACCCCTGAGAGCTTATTAAAATGCAGATTTCTAGGCCTTACTAGCAGTCTACTAAAGCAACATTTTGAAGGCACGACTGTTTCAAAGGGAGTCTACTTTAGCTTGGGACACAAGACCCTGTCTCAAAACAAACAAACCCAAGGAGTCTGGATTTTATCAAACTCCTAGGTGACCTTGATGCATAAGGTCCCAGAGTCACATCTAACAAACCCCACCCCAGAGGATGACTGGTCCTCTTGGGCCCCAGTTCATTACTTCAGAATTAGAACTGGAGGTGGAGATGAGAGTATGCAGATGTCTAACGTTAAGGCAATTTGTTTTGTTTTAATAACAGAGGCAAGAACAAAAACAAGAACAAGATATTACTCCTTTTAGCACATATTACTTACCCTATTTCAGTAAAAGTACTAAAGGAGGGAGGCCAGGGGCCTGAGAAAGTAAACAGAAGAGTGAAACTAAATTTGAAATCTCTGAACTGTGACCCACTTTCAGCTGCGGTAGTTGGTGTTTGGTTTGATTTCTTGAGACAGAGCCTCCCTATATAGTTAGGCGGGCCTTGAACTCACTATGTAGCCCAGGCTGGTCTTGGACTTGTGATTTTCCTTTCCTCAGCCTCCCAAATGCTGGGATTACAGGCATGTGCCACTGGGTCTGGCTGAGCTGGATTCTTCTATTTGTAAAATACCAAAGGGAGAAGAGGACTTTAGTTCAACTTTCATGTTTTATAATTGTGGATTTACAAAGTTCATCAGATTCTAAATGGAAACTCATGACCTGCCCTTCTTACATGCCTCCTGCCCTTCCAGCCCAGGTTCCTAAAAGGACAGAAATAATGCTAGTGGTTGCTGCTGGTGGGATTGCAGGCCTCTTCTGCTATAGGATTAATTTATTCTTTTTTTATGTTGTCTGTGTACAAAACAACTCGGGATCTGCTATTTTGCTTTTGGTTCTAGATGGCTGTTTTTTGGGACAGTGAGCTTTGCTTCATTAAACTGGCCAGGTAATATCTAAGTTTGGATTAACTGGACCCTCCAACTCCTATATAGGTCCTTTCTTCCTTTCTAAGCACCTTTGAAGTGTTTAAGTGTTCTTTTTTGTTTGTTTTTTTTGTTTTGTTTTGTTTTTCTTCCAGTATCAGGAATCTAACTCATGACCTTGCACTTGCCAGGCAGGCGCTTTGCCGCTGAGCTAAATCCCCAGACCCTAAAATAAGCCTTTCGTTTTGACTTTTTTTGGGGGGCGGGTACAGGGAATCGAACTCAGGACCTTGCCCTTGCCAGGCAGGCGCTTGTGCCACTGAGCTATATCCCCAGCCCTGAAGTGTTTAAGTGTTCCAGTACCCCTAAATTCTAGGCCTAGTGAACCTAATTTAGGGACTTGCCTCTTAAGGACAATTAGTCCATCTTCTAAGCTAGTAATAACAATTCTTCACATTTCTATAATACTTTTTAGCATGCAAAGAACTTTCACACATATTTCCAATTCTGGGGTTCAGATATCAGGCTCCTTGTCAGAAATAAATTAGAATAGATACCATACTCTCTATTTTCAGATTGCCAAACCAGGGATATTAAATCATTTGCCTGAGAAGTGCAGAAATCTGCCTTAGCCCTGTCTTGTAACTCTAAGACAGACAAGAACAAGCCTGTCATGACCAAACCTTATATTTTGCCTGTCCCACTGCTTCCATTTTTAAAAAAATGGACCTATCATGTGTTTCTTTCTCAATTAGCCATATCAGGTGATAATTATTCCTTGAGAATATACAGTAACTGACAATGATAATATGATATTTTCCCTGTTTGCATTTTTTTTGAGACAGGGTCTTTCTATGTAGTGCAGGTTGGCCTTGAGCTCATTAGGTAGCCCAAATTCACCTCAGTCTTCCTGCCTCAGCCTCCCAGTGCTGGGATTACAGGCATGCACCACCACACGTAGTTGCATTGTTATAAGGTTTCACTGGTTTCTTTTGTCACAGGTTAAAGGGCATATATCTGAGGATTCTTCACTCCCTCCAAACATGTAGTCATCTTCGAGTGAAACCAGGCCTCACCCTGATTTTAGTGTTTAGGATCAAAATGTCCCTGCCTTAGGAACAAGATATACTCTAATGTACACAAATGTGAACTGTTTTATTAATCAATACATGAGTCAGGAGAACACTAGCATTGCTCTCATCTGACAGTTTATTCTCAAACAACAAAAGCAGGCACTGTTTTAAGAAAAACATTGCCTTGTGACAGCCTTTACCTTTGCCTTAATTTTTTTAGTCTATTTAAATTCTGCCCTTGTGACCATGTGGCCTTCATGCTTGTGAAGAGGTGAAACAACTAAAATTAATTTTGCATGTAAAAAAATCTACCAATTCTGGCCTAGGAGCACTGAGATGAAAGGTGATTTAACAGGAAGAAAAATCTCAAAGTCAGGTTTGCTATGTAGAAGACGGTGGGATAAGTCAGACCCTAAGGAGAGAAGGTGTGTATTACTTGTTATGGAGCAATGAAAAGTTAGATCTGGTCCACAGGGGCACCTTGAAGGCACTGTGTAGGAAGGGCAGGAGTTGGCAGGAGCAAGAGAGAAGGACATAGAATAATGACACCTGTCCTTGGGTGCGTATGTCCCACACATGAGTGGTAGAAGTGGAGCTTTAGCCAAGGCCAGAGTGGCACAGAGGTCAAGAGCTATGGATTCATAGTACTGCAGATCTCATTCCCCTACTTAGGGGCTGGGTGGTCTGAAGTAATTTACTTACCTCTCTGAGCCTCAGCTTCTTCCCAGGTCATAGTATCTTTAGCAAAGGACAGTACTCTAATGATCAATTATCACTGTTAGGCCAAGAGAGTGCTTTGGAAAGAAAGAACAAAATGAAACATTAAATCTCTAAGCACCTGTCCCCTATAATTTTATCGTTGGATAATCCGGAAACTGCCTACTCAATAATTAAGGGAGAACTACTGGATAAAATATACTACAGCTTGTGCATTTTAACAATGAAGGCCATGTAGCAATACAGAAAAGTATTGGGTGGCTTGAAAGACAGAAAAGACAGGAGACATGGTCACTGGGCAGTACAGTTAGCCAATACTTAACAGTGTGAGGTGTTGCAGGATTGATAGCTAAAACAAGCAGTATGGACCAGGATTGATTTATAAATTATTCAGATATGATATGGCAGCCTGAATAGGTCAAGAAGGAGCTGTTGGGGAGGCATATAGGAACAGATCTGGGCCTGAAAGAATGGACAGAATTTTTGTGTCAAGTATGTCAGAAAAACAATTTCATACAGAGGGCACAAGAAGAAGCCCCACTGGTTGGAGGGGACAATACTCAGAGAACAGGAAGGGGATATGGCTAGCTCAAGCCAAGGTCACATGTTGGGACAAAGTCCTAAGCTGAGGTCCTCCTCATAGAAAACCCTAATGCCAGGCTGAGTTGTTTGTGTTTTATACTATAAGCCTTTGAACAGAGAAAAAGCAACATCTGAATAAAACCAGGAAAGTGGGGCAATATAAAAAAGCAGTAATCCCTCACAAGGAGATGAGGGTCCAAGCTTTGGGGACAAATGTGAGAACTGGAAGCAAGGGACTGATAGAAGAAATATTTAGAATGTTGTACCATGTCTTTCTTTTGTTCTTCTAATTCAAATGGCTTCCCCCCCCCCCGCCATAAAAAAAAAAAAAATGGCTTTCCCTTCCCATCACACTCCACTTCTTATCTGTCTCCCAAGCTACTCTCTTTCTGCACTTCTATGGGCTTCCAAATTCTACTGATCTCAGCTCTCACCAGCTTCTCCTGTCACCTTAACAGATGCCTGGTCACAGCTGCAGGCCCTGCCTCTGGGCCAGGTAGTGTGGATGGAAGGAAGCATTTTCTGGGAAACAATATGACCATGCCCCAAAAGGAAAAGATCTTAATCCCCCATCCGCAGCCACTCAACCCACGGCTGGGATGGGGTATGACTTTCTGCTTCTCAAAACCGAAGGACAAAGAGGAGAGTGCTTCCATTTCCGGTGTGCCGCCCGTCTTCCACTTCTGCCCCCAGCACTGTGCAGAGCTCAAGAGCAGGTATCTGAAAAAGGCCGCTGCAAACCTGTCCTTCTCTGCAGAGGTGATGTGGCAGCGAGGGCTGCCCAGCATGCCTTACAGCCAGTACAGCTTTGACCATCTCTACCGCACCGACGGCATCGTCCAGCCTCCGCACATCAGGAAGGGCCAGCCTGGGAAGCCTGTCAGCTTCAGGCTCCTACATCCCTCAGGAGCCTTGGCAGGAGACACCTCCCAGGCTGGGAAGACAGAAAGCTGTGCCCATTCTGAAAAGAAGCAAAAGAAACCAAAGCCAGAATGCCTGGTCCAGGCACCATCTCACTCTATCACGCCTTCTCTCAACAAGGACCCAGATACGCTGGATCTGCCAGCTTCTCCAGACATAGAAAGGGAAGTCTGGCTTCCACCTTCTGAGAGAGAGGCCAGAGCCTGGGAGGCCATTGTGCTGGAAAAGCTGAACAAGCGCACAGCCCGATGGATCCAGAACAAGCGTCTTGTGAGGCCTGGAGTGTTGCCCAACAAGTGGCAGAGCTTCTTGCGCCAGCAGTATGACTGGAGCCACATCCGGGATGAGCTCACCTCAGCCAGTGACCTGGAGCTCCTGAAACAGTTGGAAGCAGAAGAGACGGCAGAGTTTGAAGGTCAAAGTATCATCCTGCCCCCTGAGGAAGAGAAGAAGCCAGAGCTGCTGCTTCCTGTTTACTACAGGTAGGCTGGCCAGGCTTTGGGTATGCCTTAGAGAATCCCTAGCTCCCCTGCAAGGACTCACAGGTGTGCTTACACACCTCATTGTATTTTATCTTATTTGTTTATTTTATGCTGTTCTGGGGATTGAACCCGGGGTCTTGAACATGGTAGGCAAGGGCTGTACCACTGAGCTATACCACTGGCCATATTCCTTATTTGGAAATGCACTCTTCCATCAACCACATGTTCTCCACCAACAACCTGATGTCTGACAGCTCCACAAATTAAGGCTGCTTAGCCACTGCTGTACTGACAAGCTGGGTTGGACAAATTTCTTGTTGTAAAGGGCTCCCTGTGCGTTGCAGGATGTTAGCAACATCCCTGCTCTCTACCCACTAGATGCCAGTAATTGTGACAACCAAGGATGTCTCAGATTCTATCCTGACAGATGTCTCTGAGGGGCAAAATGGCCCCCAGTTGAGGACCATTGCCTTAGAGGAATCAGTTCTTGGTCTTCTTCAGCAGAGTTAGCTATCAGATTGCTGATCCAGTTACTATCCAAGCATCCCAAAAATATACCCATTGTGTGAGTAAGGAAGACAGACACCTCATGGCATTGCAGTATGGTCCTGCTTCCTTTTGAATAAGGAGCCAGTGTGTCACTGGACAAGCAGCTACAGGAAAGAAAAACAAGCAACCTCAGAAAATACGGTGACTCCCTGTGCCTCAGATTGCTTCCTTCTCATTTATAATGAAAGTAAAGGCTGGAACTATAATAATAACCCTGATTTCCAAAAAGGAATTAAACATAAGCAGAAATATTTATTCATTTACTGAGAAAATATAAATTGTATTTTTGCTGCTTTCAGGCAGTCTGCCAAGTGCTGGGGACTACAGTGTAAAAGGGCAGATTTGCACCTTTCAGGAGCTTGTCTGCTGTGGGACGGGCAGACATTAAGTAACTGCACTGCACTAGAGTGAGGTGATGGAGGCGGCAGGTTCCCTTCCCCACATGTGTGCAATCTTTAAGGGGACAATGGCAAGAAAGGGTTATGCTCTGGGCTGGAGTGTAGCTCAGTGGTAAATCACTTCTCTAGCATCCATAAAGCCCTGGGTTTGATCCCCTGCACCAGACATGTGCACGCACATGCATACACACATGCACGCACAAAGGGTTATGTTGGGAGTATGGCTGCCCTGCAGTGCTGCGTTATCATGCTGTGCTGGCTGCCAAAGGCATGGTTTCACCATGGAGGGGCTGGGTAGTTGAAGCCAAGCCTTTCTGGTGGCTCCATATTCAACTGACAGGAGGGGAAAGGTTAATAAACACTAGTGTTCTTCAGATGTTCACGTGAGTCAGAGCTGAGCTTGAGTGATCTGTGCTCCCACTGCAAAGTGGGGCACCTCCTACCTTTCCTTTCCCCCCTCTATACCCCTGCCAAGATTGTCCAGTTACTCTCCACAAGTACAGACAGTTGAAAGCCTGCCCAGCAAGAATGCAACAGCTGAGGATATCAAGGAAAAGAGAAAAATCATCCAGCCCCCAAAGAAAAGCTACTTCCGACAGGTGACTCCCCGAGCTGGAAAGTTTGCTTACTCCACAGACAACACCTTTGAACAGGAGATTTACTTTGGTAATAACACGGGCCCTGTGGTGGGGACAAGGTGGGCATGGACCAGGGAGATGTAGGGAGCTGGGGAGGGAAACAGTCATGGGTGGGGGAATGAGAAGCCCCGGATGCCCCTGATTTTCATGATACATCACCTGGGTACTAGCACAGGGGTTGGGGTGGGTAGTGATTTCCGGTGGGAAAGACAGTTTTCTCTCTTCCTCCTCCTCCATCTTACTAAGGAAGGAGTGCAGGGTGGTATTGTAAGGTCAGCAGTCTACCTCTTCTCTGTCCACTCTTTTCCCTTCCCTGTGAGATAGTCCCCAACCAAGGTGCCATGTTGAAAAAAATATCACGGACTTTGGAATCAGACAGATTTGGAGTTAAATGCTGGCTCAACTCCTGAGTACCCTTCAGAATATTTTTCTGTAAGCCTTAGAAGCCTCATTTATAAAATGATGTTAACAAAAATACACTTTAAGCCGAATAGACGAGAAATCATCTCTTCACACTTCTTATGCAGAGCCTGGCACATAGAGGTGCTCAGTTAAGTTCCCATTACTTCCCCCTTCCACCTTGATGTCCTTTAGATGCCTAGGCTTCCAGGGTACACCATCTAGGTGCTGTGTGTTCCAACCTCTTTCTTCTTCCTAACCCTCTTCCTGTTCCTACACTGCTGTCAGGTGATATCCTAGAGGACAATGCCTAGATGTTAAACAGGTTCTGCCTTAGCATGGAAAACGCCACCCTTGGCTCCAGTGTCTCTATGAGGCTTCTTTACGAGGCCACCAGCTGTGACATTTCTAAGCAAGAATCACGTTCCAGGGATGCTTCACTGCATGATAATCTTCGGTTTTACGAGCTTAGGTTAGTGCAAAAGAAAACTAATTCCTATGGGTGGAAACCCAGGAAGACAGGAAAGGAAAAGAAAAAGAAAATGAGGGAAGAGTGAAGTACTGGGAGACTCATTGTTTCTTTGTTTACAGATGGAGTCCGGATCATCCACCACATTGGTGCGAAGAGAGACCGTATTTTCCTGGAAAACCTCAATCAGTACGACAAGCATCTAACTAAGGTCTTCCCTGAAACTCCAGAAAAGTGGAGTTTCCAGCCCGTTCCTGAAGCACGTAAGCAGGAAACTGATGTGGGAAAGGGGTGGTAGAAATGTGGCTGTCTTTTTAAGATTCCTAGTTCATGGGCTAGGGGCACCCCCAGCAATGAGGAAACTCCCTACCAACTAAAAAGTACCTCATAAAATTATAATATACTAATAACCAGGAAGAGCCTTGTAAAGGTTATTGCCTGCCTTGCTCAAAGGAAAGAACTGGCTCAAAGCAAATCTAAAGGTGTTAAGAGTTGGAATGAAATTCCAGAAGAAAGAGAAATGGCTGACAGTGACAGAATGGAACATGAGACTAATAGGCAATGTGGCAAATAATGAACTTAGTAAGTTTGGAAATGCTTTTATCTGCCCTCCCTTCCTGTTTTCCACACAACTTCTCTCCTAAGAGGAAACTTTCTGAATCCATTGGACACCATGAACAAAAAGTAACTACCATAACAATTTTCATATAATAACTACAAATAACTATATTTATAAATATATATGGTTTCTTCTGTTCTCAATTTTTTTGTTTGTTTCTTTGAGACAGGGCCTTGTTAGGTAGTCCAGGCTGGGCTTAAACTCACTATGTAGCCCAGACTGGCATCAAACTGGCAGTAATCCTCCTGCCTAGGCTCCCCATTGCTGGGATTACAGATGTGTGCCACCATGCCCAGTGTTCTCAAATTTTTGACTGCTATTTATCATAACTAGGAAAATTCAGAGCTATTAAAATCTTTAAAACTTAGCAACTTATAGTATTGTTCCTTCCCTCAAAAAAAAAAAAGATTAAAGAAAAAACTTAATGAACTAATGGCCAATTACACTGTAAACTGAAACACATCAAATACTGATTTTTTTTTGTTTGTTTTTTTGGGTTTTTTTGCTACTGGGAATCAAACTCAGGATCTTGCACTTTATCCCAGCTCAATACTGACTTTTTAAAAGCTTTTGTTTGTCTTACTTTTAGACAAGGATCTTGCACCATTGCTCAGGCTGGACTTGAATTTGTGATTCTCGTGCCTTAGTCTCTTTAGTAGTTGGGATTAAAAGCACATACCACTATACCTGGATCTCAAATACTGAATTTTATAAGCAAATCTTGTTACATATTTGTGTTCCTAAATACTTATTATACTTATAAAAAGGGTTGTATATATCTCTACCCCCCAAATCTGCCTCATTCATCATCATCATCTTAGCTTATTATGGCAAGTCTTTTCATAATTCCCTGTGGAACATCTACTCAGTTCCCTATATAATCATGGGAAAGTTCACTTTCAAGAGCTTTGTTTTGCCTTGATATTAGTAGGAGTAGGAATGGAAAACTTGTTGGGACCACTGTGGGCAAGGCCTAAGGCTGTCAGGTGAAGAGACCTCCTTCTGCTGTGTTGCACAGCTGGTAGGCCTGTGAAAGGAGCCCTGCGCTGGACTGGTCTGCCCACACGAGCCAAGGATCTGCTGTTGCAGCAAGTGGGTGAGGAGGACCTTCCTGTCAAGACCAGGAAATCCAAGAAGCACGTGAAGTCACTGATGGAGGATGTGACTTGGGAACTGGTGGTCCTGCGGAGGATGCTTCGGGAGTGGAAGACCGCCTGGGGCCTGAGTGAGTGGAGGGTGTAGGTCTCACCTTGGAATAACACTACTCAATCTGCAAATCCATGTGTCTCTTGTAAAATATAAAGTCTTGGTTGCCTCAGTAAGGTTAGACTAGATAAGAGCTTCTTACACAGTGGGCGTTAGGTGAATGTTAGTTACATATATCTGGATTTACTTTTTTTTCTTGGGATGGGTCACTCTTCAGTAATTTGTAGAAACTTATTGCACTGAGAAATCTTTATAGGAAGGGACCATGTCTTACTAATTTCTGAAACTTAACACAATATTTGATGCATGAAGGGAAAACAAAATATGCTACCCAAGCATTTAGACAGGTAAAGATAAAGAGAAATTAGTTGACTGTTGCAGAGCTGGGGTTATCATGCATCTACTTTTCCTCCAAAGATACCCAAGTAGAAGGCTGAATGTCGGGGGTAGGTAATAGCCTAGCAAGGACTTTTGGAAGTATTTGACAACTCAAAGGCTGCTGGCTTTCAGAACATGAGAGATTAGTTAGTACAGGAGAGCTGATCCCCTGACCACTAGGTAAGCTGGATCAGAAAACAAAAAAGGTTGAAAAAGAGATTCTGAATAAAAGATACAAGTGGAGAATGCCTACTGATCATAGGAGCACTGCAATAAAAGTATCATACCTACAAAGAGAGTAGTTAGAAATTTTATGAGGAACAATGAGGAAGCTGTTGAAAGCTAGAATGAAGAGCCTTCAGATGCAAGGGAACTTGATGATTACAATAACTGACCTTCACTGCTCTGGGATATAGCTCAGTGGTAGAGCACTTGCCTAGCATGCACAAAGCCCTGGTTTTCATCCCTAGTACTAAAACAAAATATTTATTGAACCTCATTATTAGGCATTTTGCCAAACACTTTGTCAAGTTAAGGATTTAATCCTCAAAGCAACTCAATATGATAGGTTCTAGTGCTATTCCTATGCTACAAATGAGATATCTCAGGCTCAGAGTACCCTCAGCCATGATGGGGATGTTTGTTTGTTTGAGATGGGGTTTCATTGTTGCCTGGCTGGTCTTGAACTCACAGGCTCAAGTGACCCTTCTACCTCAGACTCCCAGATGGAACTACAAGTGTGTGTCACCCTGTCCAACCCATCACTATGCTTTGCTGCCTCTTTTATTTTCCAGATGGTTAAAATTAAAAGTTAGGTAAAGCCAGGCATGATGGAACACACCTGTAACCCAGCATTCAGGAGGCTGAGACAGGAGGATCATAAGTTTGAGCCAGTTTGGGTTTACATAACAAGTTCTAGATCAGCTTGGGCTACAGAGTCTCTGTCTTTTAAAAAAACAAAAGTTATTTGAGCAAAAAGTGTAAGTATAAGGTGGGATTGGGGGACCTACCTGAGAGGTACATGAATCGTCAGAGAAATAACTTCCCTAAGGAAGTTCCCTTAATCTTCTAAGCTAATGTTTTGCTTGAATTGTCCTGAGGAAACAGCACTTCTTGTCATCTGCCAGCAGCACAATATCTAATCCTAACCAGGTGGTTCCTTTCTTATGTCTGTAATTGAGACGCGGTAATCGAGTGGCACCATGAGACAGTGGAGAGCCTGATGCGTGGCTTAGAAGACATGTGTGACCACATTCGGATCCAAGCTATCATCACGTGTGCCACAGCTGCTCTGGAATGCCCCCGGACTGCTGCCAGCTCGTTGGACTCGGGTAAGAGCTGGGGCTAAACTGCTTGAGAACATCCAGGGTTCATGAACCACGGAATATCTAACACCATTTTACAAATGCAGAAACCAAGGCCCAGAGATTGCTCTGAATACATACAGCTTATAGGCAGTAGAGACAGATTAGAATTCCTATATTCCTGACATTCCTGACCTTTAGCCCAGTGCTTTATTTTTATTTTTATTTTTTTGGTGCTAGATATGAATCAAGAGCCTCATACGTGCTAAGTATGTTCTCTACCACAAGAGCTTTTTGCTCTTTACCATCTATATGCTCATGCCTTGCAGGAGAGTTCACATTTCCAACTCATAGCAACCAAAACCTATATTTAAAACGTGTGTGTGTGTGCCCGCGCGCGTGCGTGCGTGCGTGTGTGTGTGTGTGTGTGTGTGTGTATTTTCATTTCTCTCAGTTCCATTTTAGCCCTTTTTGGAGAGCACATTTCAAACTCAGCATGTTCAAAACTGAATTCATCACTCTTGACACAGACCCTATGCCCCACATTCCCAATCTCAATCAGCAGCTTCCCAATCCATTCTGTTTAGATGTGAGGCCCCGGGAGTCATCCAGGATAAAATTCATCATCTACCATAACCAGCTAATCATTGAAAACCACTGACTCTGTCTCCTGTGTTTTCACTTTTTTAATTACAAAAGAAATATAAAATGTCATTATTCATCAAAACAGAGGAATATAAAAAGAGATAATAGCCCCCAACCTGTTCTCTCTCTCTCTCTGTCTCTCTCTGTCTCTCTTTTTTTTTTCATGGTACCAGGAATCCTACTGCCACTCTGTGCATCACTCCCCAAGCTAACTAATCTTTACAGATGAGCACTTCACAGCTTTATGCTTTTATAAACTATGCTAACATATGTGTGGACTTCTAAATTTATTATAAAATGAGTATTATATTTTATTGGGCAGATTCTGGATTTTTCCTTTTAATCTGTGGATCTGATAAATTCTATTGTTAAATTCTTAGAATAGAGGCAGGAGCATTGCAAGTTTGAGCCCAACTTAGGCAACTTAATAATTTAGCAAAAACCTGTCTCAGACTTTAAAAATAGCAAAAAGGGCTAGGTTCCATCCTTAGTACTGTACACTCCCACCCGCATGATTCTTAGAATAAACCCTGAATCATGATTATCTTTTTACTGGGTTTAATTTATTAAGACTTTAGAATTTCTTGTTACATTAGTGAATTTGGTAGTCTTGTTTTTATTTATACTATTTTGTTAAGACAGAAACTTTGTAAAATAAATGGACTTTTTGTTTTTTCCCCCAGTGGTCTGTATCTCTTGGAAACATCAATAGTTTTTCTCCTTACTACCTATAGCAATAGCAGTTAAAAAGAAAATTTCTATTAGGGCCAAAAATGTAACCCACCAAGGAGGTAAATAAATAAGACACAGGTCTCAGATGGTGGCATGAGGAAAAGACATAAAGCACAGCCTTTCCGTACTTGTTCTGCAAGCGCCCTCTCAGATATCACCTTTTGTACAAAACCTGAGTTGATCTGCCCCTTCTTTGCTGCTGGTTACACCCTAGCCTGACTTCATACTTACTCTAATTGTGTATCTTTCTCTATCACTGCCAAGGAAAGAATTTTTTGAAGGCAGGACACAGACATTTTCCCTCTTAAATGTTTAATTATAAAAGAAATATCAAGTGTTATTATTAACACAGGAGGATATAAAGAGGTAAAAACCTTCACCCACTTTACAACCCTACTTGGATTCCACAGATCACTTCCCTGACTAACCAGTGTTTGATTCTCAAATTTACTTCTCTCTCTGCTGGAATATTTCTATCTTCTCACCTGATAAACCCCACTTATCCTTCAGTTTTCAGCTAACAATGTCACTTCTGAAGACTTTCCCTGTCCCAGCACCTAGACTTGGCTCAGTGTCCCTGCTATATGCTTCCATTCATATACATTTTTGTTATATCTGCTTATTTCCTTGGTTATTAAACAGGATAAAATATTTTCAGTAGCCAGTACATAGAAAAAAGCCTCTGATGGGTAGCAGTAATTATATCCTAATATCTGAATCTTCTACATACAGGTATGTACCATTTAACCATGGGGATAGATTCTGAGGCATGTGTCTTTACAGTTTCATTATTGGGAAGACATCATGGAGTGATACACAGAAACATTTACAGATTAGGAGAGATTATCTTAATGGGACCACCATCATATATGTGGTCTGTTGTTGACGAAAACATTTTCTGTGGCCATGACTGTACAAAGAACATCTGTGTCTTGCTTAGAAATGTGCCTTTCGTGTGATCCTTTTCACATGTCTTGAGTAGATTTTAATTTCTTTTGTAACTTCCCCAAAGGAAATTACCTTATTTTTTAAATAGTCAATTGAGTTATTACATCTGTTTGCCTGAAATACACATAGCTCCATCTACAGGTTTAGTAACATTTATCTGAAATACTTGGAACCAGAAATTTTTTGGATTTTTTTTCTGATCTAGGAATATTTGAATGTATATCATGAGATATCTTGAGGATGGGAACCAAGTCTAAACATTAACTTCTAAGGATCAGTGAAATAGAATACAGGATGCAGAAACAATTCCAAGCACACTCAGCTCCCTTATCTTTGACAAAGGGGCCAAACACCTTCACTGGAGGAAAGATAGCTTCATTAGTAAATGGTGCTGGGAAAATTGGCTTTCAGAGTTTAAACCTAGACCCATATCTTTCACCAAAGATTAAACCTAGACCCATAGATTAAAGGCCAAGATTAAACACAGACCCATACTTGTCATCATCCACTAAACTAAAATTGAAATGCCAAAGATTAAACCTAGACCCATATCTTTCACCATGCATAAACTAAAATTGAAATGGATCAAAGCGCTAAATATTAAACAGAATCTACTGGAAGCAGAATAGGTAAAACTGTTGAAGACACAGGTGTAGGCAAAGACTTTATGAACAAAGCCTCAGTCACACAAGAAATATTACAAAGAATCAACAACTGTGATCACATAATACTGAAAAGCTTCTGCACAGCAAAAGAAACCACCAACAGAGTGAAGCAATAACACACAGAATAGGAAAAAATTTGCCAGATGTTCCTCAGACAAAGGACTACTAATATCTAGAACATATAATATAAAATACTCAAAAAGGTCAGACCCCTCCCAAATTAAAGACCCAGTCCTAAAATAGGCATCTGAAATGAACAGATACTTCTCAGCTGAAGTGCAAATACCAAATAAATATATGAAAAAGTGTTCAACATCTCTGGTAATTCGAGAGATGCAAATTAAAACAACACTGAGATTCCATCTCCGGAAAGAAGGGCTATTATCAAGATATCAACCAATAACAAATACTGGATAGGCTGTGGGGGGAAAGGAACACTTCTCCACTGTTGGTGAGAGTGTAAATTGGTACAATCGTTACAGCAATCAGTACAGAGATTCTTCAAAAAACTAAAACTACAGGTTCCTTTTGACCCAGCTATTCCCCTTTTAGGAATCTTCCCAAAAGAGTTAAAAAATATCATAATACAGCAACATATGCACATCCATGTTTATAGCAACACAGTTTATAATAGTTAAATCTTTAAACAGCCCATATACCCATCAACTGATGAGTGGATAAAGAAAATGTGGTTTATATACCTGGAGTACTACTCTGCCATAGTATAGTTCTCTATAAGGTAAATGGATGTACCTTGAGAATATAAGTGAAATAAATTGGACATAAACATTAAATTCATTTTTCTTTCATATACACCTATATGCATCGTCCAAAGGTAGCTTTATGTATTTTGATTTTAGTTCAACATTATCAAAATGTACTTTATTTGTTAGTAGTAAAACTATCAGTAGATGTTATTTAGACAAACACAGTAGATTATAAACAAAGTCTAACACTTCTGCCAGTTATTTTCTCAAAAAACAAATGACCTGCAAAATAACACTGGATTGTGTCACCAGAACTGCTCTGGAAAGATGATTAGGACGTACAGAGACATCACAAATCCAACAGCACCCGGTGCAGCCAAAGCCTCTCCTACAGATCTGAAGTCTTTTGGACATAATCTCTGGACCTCTGTGTCAGGCAGGGCGCAGGTTCTGGGCTGCTGACTTTCTGCGTTCAGGCGCGTCAACGCCCACGAGCACCAGGGGTCCTTCGGGGTCGAAGACACCATAACCAAGACAGACAACGTCAAAAGCAAGGTCAGATAAACCGTGCCGCTTCCTCCCCGCCACCTCCCGCGGGCACCGTGTAAAATTCCCGTCACGCCGACAGCGGGTGTCCCAGGCTCTTCAGGACGACACTGAGTCCTGACTCTTCTCCCAACACCAGTCTCCACCACCCGCCCGATTCGCTGTCCGCTCAGCACCAGATGACGGAGGTCTGCGGCAGAAGCTGGGGGCAGCGCTTTCCACCAGCGCAGCTCCTGCCTCGGTCCTAGGAATGCCCCAGGATCGTCGTCCTCTTGGGCCAAAAACTGGGCCAGAGCTCGGCCACTAGGGGGTGGACGAGGACTTCACAAAACCTGGGCCCTGAGCTTCAACGCCCAGAGAGGCTCCGCCGCAGGCGCACAAAGTACGTGGCTCAACGCCATTTGGCTCCGAGGTGGGCGCGCCGTAGTGCGTCACTTCCGTCGCACAGAACTGGAAACCGGAAGCCGGACCAGATCTCTGCTTAGGGCTCTAGAACGGAAGCCTAGTCAGTTTTATGTAGTTTGTTTTGTTTTGTTTTGAGCGTGCCTGTGTTTTGACTGAAACCCATCACGTGCGGTCAGGTGTGCAATTTTCCCACTTGCAATATTATGTCAATGTGTAAAGTTTCGGATTTTGGAGCATTTGGGACTTAGGCATAAAAGGTGCCTGACTCACATGTAATCTGTTCTCAAGAGATACCATACAGACCCATTACATTAGTAAAACAAACACATGACTAGAAATCGTAAGAAGTCTGAGTTACAGGCCTAGCTCTGCCACTCCTTGAGAAGTCAGTTAACTTTTCTGAGCGTCAACTTCACGTGCCTGTGAACAAAGGGATAACAAAACCTTTTCCCCTTCTACTTGAGAATTCGAGACCCAGTTAAGTGCCTACCTACTCTCCTAATAAGGTGTGTGTGTGTGTGTTGCACTGCAAGTACTCTACCACTGAACCAAAACTGTAGCCAAAACTGCATGTTATGAACCTTGGTTGATAAATTACTGTGAGCTCAGGAAGAACTATAAATGAGTCTGGCATGGTGGCACATTCTGGAGGCTGGGGCAGGAGAAGCCTAGGCTACAAAGCAAGTTGGAGGCCAGTCTGGACTATGTAAGGAGACCTCATCTCCAACCCCCCTTCCCGAAAAGAAACTATAAATGAAATACAAGTATCTAATGGGAACATCATACTTTTCACCTCCCTAAATGCTTAATTTATCACAGATATACCCTTTGTGAACTCTAGAATTATATCTACCATATGGTGGTGTTAGAAGAGATACTACTGCCTGTGGAGTGTAAGTTCATCGACAATGAACTCCATGCTCCTGACCTGTCCCCAGAACACCGTGGAATGCTACATAGCCTCAAAAATTCCAGCCAAAAAGAATGCCTGACCCTGCTCCCCTACTGACAAACTGCTCTCATCCTATGTCCTCCTCCTAGTGCTATGTGGCCTATGCTAGTCTTGCGACTGAATATTTACAGTTATGCTTGAAAGACTCCTTGGTAAGTTCTGCAGTGATCCTTACCTTGCTTAATTCAACCACAGTTGCAAGACAGAAACAGTGTGAAAATACTGTATAGGCCAGGTGTGTTGGTGCACCCCTGTGGACCCAGCACTTAGGATGGAGGCAAAATTACAGGGAGTTCAAGGCCAGCCTGCACTACATAACAAGACCCTGTCTCAAAAAATAAACACCAACCCTATAAACAAGTGGCAGCCAGCATGATGGTACATCCTTGTAATCCCAGCACTCTGGGTGGGTTAGGCAAGGAGATCACAAGTTTGAGTACAGCCCTGGCAACTTAGTAAGACCCGATCTATGAATGAATGAATGAATGGATAGATAATGGCAAAGCATTACCTATAAGCATAACTGTGGTTATTAAAAACCTAAAGTCTTGTTTAGGTTTGATTTTTGTCACAAAAACTATTGATGTCCACCATAGCATAGCTGGAAACATGCTTTGGCCTGAATATAGCACTTTAGAGGCCAGATGAAAAAGGGGCAGGAAAAAGCATCCTAACCCAGACCCAGCACATGCTGTAATCCCGTGAGCATAAAATCTTTGCAGGTATGGGGCATAGCTAACCTGTGATCATATATTTTTTTCTTGGTACCGGCAATCAAACTCATGACTTCAGGCTTGCCAGGCAAGCGCTTATTCCGCTGAACTGTATCCCCAGCCGGCCTGGGATTATATTAAGTAGTAATAGAGACCTGGCAAAGGACTAGAACTCTTCTTACCTGGCTCTTTTTGATCACAGACCAAGGGGCTGTGGAAGCCCCGTTAATCCAGGACTTGCCAGAGGCTCTACAGCCTTCCCTGGAGGCTGCACTTTGTGACAAGAACGTCAACGTGAGGATGGCAGCAGCGCTATGCCAATATGCCACACAATCACATAACCGCCTTGCCCGGGGCATCATGGAGACAGCTCTTGTGAAGGGTGAGTAACTCCCTGTTACTGCCAGGCTGGGAATATGGGCTAGAGGGGATCTCTTACCATCAGCTTTCAGTCTTCCCTTCCCCTCATGCTCTGTGACGTCTGCTACATCAGGTTTGGGTTTATGTTGGAACATTCAGAAATCAGCTCTTCCTTGGTACTTTACAGAACTAAGCTTTTCATAGAGGCACTTGATTAGAAACTATGCTCTAAAATGGATGGACCCGGAGGGCATTATGTTGAGTGAAATAAGCCTGACTCAGACAAGTACACCACGTTCTTGTTCAGAGTCAACCTCAATGTAGAAGAGAGATTACTAGAGGCTGGGAAGTAGGGGAAAAGAGGGAGCAGAAGGTGACTAAAGGGAGAACGGATTTGATAACTGCATGCTATATGCATGTATTGAAATACCACACTGAACCCCATTAATATGTACAGTTACTACACATTAATTAAAAAACCCATGGCTTCTTTCATACAACCTGATTTTCTTTATTGAAAAGATATAACAATATCAAATATTTTTAAAATTTTAAAAACCACCTGAGCACATCTTGCTTCCATTTTACAGTAACTTCCAAGCATCATTCACATGGGTTGTTGGAGTCATTTGGTCAAAATGGCTCTAGTCAGGTATGGTGACCCATGCCAGTAACTCCAGCACTTGGAAGGCTGAGGCAGGAGGACTGTTACAAGTTTAAGGCCAGCCTGAGTTGCTACATAGTGAATTCATGGACAGCCTGCATAGTGAAACTCTGTCTCAAGCAAAGGAAAACATGGCTGTCAGATGACAGGCCAAAAGTGCACAACTGCTCTTTCCATCTGGGGGAAACATCACTATTCCAGATTCATTTCTTCACCCCACCATGGCAGGTAACAGTGCGGACAGCTGGGCTGCAGCTCAGTGCTTGGCTGTTGAAGGTATTGCTACTTACCTGGTGATTAAGAGGATCCTCCATCAGCTGTTTAACAAGAAGAATAAGGACACTGAGGACCAGTCTTGTATCCTCCTGCGCCATCTCAGTGGAAAGACAGTATGTACCCCTTATGGGTCAGAGAGGAAACGAAGTTTTGGGAAATAATTAGATCTGTGTGACCAATGCATATAAGTAATCCAAAGTGCAGGTGGGTGGGTACGATAATCTCAAGCATAGGTAAAAGTGCACCAAGTGTGGGTAAACGTGGGTGTGGAAGTGAATACAGGGAGACTTGACAACAGCTAGCTGAGAAAAGTGAGAAGTTGGTTGCAAATGATTTCTAACTACACAAGAAGAGTTGTGACATGCAGAATTTGCTTCTGAAAGAGGTTTACCACTGAAAGCCACACAGAGCTACAATTATGTTTAGTTTCTTTCCTAAGAAATAAGAAACAATGATTGGAGCATGTATAAATCATCTTCGGGTAAAAATAGTCAGGAAGATTGTTTATATTATTAAATCCCTATTTTCTTCCCTGATTACGATATTAGAGTCAGGTGGCATGGATGGAGGAGTGCCCATCTCTTGTAAATGCACTGTTCTTTATTAGGGATGGGTATCTCATGACCTTGGCATGTTAATTATACTGGATGCCATTTATGATGTAACTTCTTCAAGATTCCAGTATCTCTACAAGTGATCCCGACTACTGATACAAGTTCTTCCATTTCTTAAGACCCTGATACACACCATGCTTGCTGTGGAGCTGAACAGCTATCAATGGAAAGACCGGACTGTGGCCTGCAGGGCCTTCTCCAGGATCAGTGGAACTGTTTGTTTAGTAAGCTTTCTTTCTTTGCTTCCAAGACAGAGATAAGGCTGGGCTATAAGGAACATTTCTACTTTTTCCTACCATATAGTAGCTCACTCTCACCAAAGATATTTCTGTGCCCGCACTGCTACCTCTTATAACCCAGAATTATCTTCAAATGCCAACACATTCTTCTGTGACTTGAGTCAGTGCTTCTCAGTATGGTGGCAATCCACAAACTGTAAAGGAGCCACAACAAAATAAACACAAAAGAGAAATCACTTAGCTATTAGACACTGCCTCAATATCAATGGCCTTATATAAGTCTTAGTCAATGACATTTTCACCCCATTTCCAGCCCTAAAATGGATCCCTCATCAGTTTAAGTTTGAAGACCCAACAGCTCAACTCAGCAAGTACTTGCTCTGGTTCTCTGTAAGATATGGGGATTTCCTATGGTTCCACGGGACAGTAGGCTTCACTAAGGACATACATTTTGAGCTAAATCCTACAGAGCAGGAAAACACTGGGCATCAGATAGGGGTGGAAGAGATATGTTTTAGGCAGGGAGAACAGTTGGCTACTTTTACATCATCACCAGCTACAACTGTAGTACTATTTATCCCTTCCCCTCTTAACAGAAATAGACTGATAGGACAACCAACTGCCCTAGTTTGTCCAGAACAGTGGTGACCAACCTATGGCATGCTTGTTATTTGTTTTAAGATAAAGATGTTAATGCATGAGTTTTTTTTTTCTAACCTAAAACTTCAGGATTCAGGTTTAATTGCTGTGTTGACACTTTTTTGATGAATAAATGGGTTTTGGGTTGCAGTTTGGGCACTTGTCTCTAAAAGGTTTTCCATCACTGTTTCATTTAGTACTAAAATCGGGAAAGATCCAAGCAAATGAAGATGAACTGGTCACCCCATTAAATATTAAAGTTTTAAATCTCTTATACAGACTATGTTGGCCCTGATGCTATACAGTTTAAAGGATAAGCTTAGGAAACAGCTGGATTTGAGTCTTGGTTCTAGGTTCTCACCATGTTAACCCTGGGTAGTGAGTCAAAGCCTCTGTTGTGTCATCTGTGACTGGTAATGATTGCCCCACTGCTGTGGGAGACTAAAGGATAGGTAAAAATGCGTAGCATAATGTCAAGTAGAAAATTAACATTCAACAAATGATAGCCGATTGTTACACCTGTTTATAGGACATGAAACACAAGTTGATCCAGCTGATGTGGGACGACTGGAATAAGGAAGTGAGGCAAGCAGCTGCCCGCGCACTGGGGCAAATGAGCCTTGGGAAAGAAGTGCACGACGCAATTAGGTAAGGCTTAGTCCACGTGAGAGAACCTTCTATCCCTAGAAGCAGTCTGTGGGCCAGGGATGAAGGCAGCTAGCACTTGCTAAGCTCCTCTGCATGCTCAGTATTATACTAGGTCCCACTGTAAAAAAGTTCAGTTACTACAGAAACTAACAGTAGGGCTAGAGGAGGCAGCGTTCACTAAGTTCACTTATGTAAAGGTGATGTTTTGGTATCTAAGGGAGTTTGAAAAACAGGATAGTTCTGATGAGCAGCATAAGCAAGATACACAAGACCTAAATAAAAATAACAAATCATATTAAAAACAAATGGCATAAATCCTATCTGCTATAGAAAAAATGGAACATTCAGTGTGGGCCACAGAAGTAGGGCCAAGTTTCATGGAGGGTGGGTAGATAGCAGAGTCTTTCTAGGCGAGGAGCCCATTGCCAATTGAGTATCATGCATGTAAGGGCATGGGAGGGTGGGTGGTACGCAGTGAAAGTTTGAGGAAAAATAAAAGCAATTTGTGCTTCACAGGGTTAAGCTGGTTGAAGGAAATGCCCAGGAGCGTGTGAAAGCGCTCTCCCTAATAGGTGGGCTTAAGCTTATGACTGCCAAGCTTTTCCCAGGCTTCCTGAACTGCTTCTCTGATGAGTTTGTAGCAGTTCGGCAGGCAGCCTGTTTGGCAGCGGGTGCCCTGCAGATCCGCAACAAGATGGTGAGTGAGGGAAACATCACATCTTACCTCAATGACCTGAAGAGATTTCCTTCCCTTGTTGTGCACAATATACTGACTATTCTGTGAGGACACAGAATGAGATCAGAACCAAGAAAAGGCCACACCAGTCAGTGCGGACCATTTAGCTCCTAGGTCCCCAGACTTGAAGACAGCATACACTTGAGTCCTGTTCTCACCTGTTAGCTTCCTTGAATGCTGACGGGCACGAGGATCAATTCCAGTGAGTGGAGCTTCACACAGTTATTTAAGAAATGCGACTAAGGTATTGAGGAGTCTGAGACGGGTGTGTGTGTGGTGGGGGGTGTGGTGTGGTGTGGTGTGTGTGTGTGTGTGTCTTACCTTAGCAGGTAGAAGGCCTTGAGTTTGATCCCATGCATACCGCCCCCCACACACAAGAAAAAAGAAGTCTGTATGACCACAAGTCTGTGGGCTGAGCAATGCAGAGAGCAAGTCATTCTACCATGCCGTATACAGGCTTGTGGTTCAGGCTCCTGTTCATTTGTCCCTACGGTCACCAGGTCACTTTTCAGTTCTAGCACCACTTAAAGACAAGTAGTATCCCTGTTTCTAATTCATTCTTGTTCTGGTTCTTTTCACTCAACAGTGACTTTTATCTGTCTACCCCAGGTGCTTGAATGCCTCCTGAATCTGATGCAGACAGATCCTTTTTGGAAAATCAAAGCTTTTGCCATTCGAGGTATTAAGAGTAGTGGCCCTAACTTTTTTCTTTTTTTTGAGACAGTGTCTAACTATGAGATCTAAGCTGGTCCTGAACTCATTATATAGCCCAGGCTGGCCTTGAATTCAGGGCAACCTCCTGCGTCAGCCACTGGAATGCTGGGATTACAGGCATGTGCCATCTCATCCAGCTTCAACTCAACTTTAAATAACTTCTCCTGTGCTAATACTGATGATGCCCAGAAATTCTCCAGTCAGAGAATGAAAAAGTAAGGGAGAATAATCACACTTTCTCAGAAGTTCCTTGCCTGAGAAAGATTTTTTTGCTTCGAGTGAATTTAGGTCTCTGTCACACTGTTAAGGCAAAGGGAAGACGCTCCGAGTAAGTATCCACTGTTGGATATATCTTGCACTCCCTGGACGTTCAAGTGTAGCACTCTGTAAAAGACCTCCTTCAAGACTGCTAGAGCCCTTTAGCCTGCCCTCTGATTTCCCTAATTTCTTTTTAGGACCTTTGGCTTTATTTCTCTTTTTTTTTTTTGTTCTTTTGAGACAGGGTCTCGCTATGCAGTTCAGGCTGACCTTCAGCTCACTTTGCAGCCTATGCTGGTCTTGAACTCACAACGATCCTCCTGCCTCAGCGTCCTGTTTCTCTTTTTGACATTGTCTTTGGCAGATTTCTAGCTACCACACTTGTGATTAAGCTGGTGGCTTGTGAGCTTTTCATTGCTGTGACAAAATACCTAAAAAAAAAAAAAAGTCAACTTAAAAGGAGGAAAGATTTATTTTGCTCACAGTCTCAGCCCATGGCTGGCTGGCTCCCCTCCTTTGGGGCTATGATGAAAGAGACCATCATGATAGGAAATGGCAGAATAAAGTTGTTCATCTCATGGCAACTGGTAGCAAACAGAAGGGGCCATGGGCCCAATATAGCATTTAAAGGCACTCCTCAGTGACCTACTTCCTCTAACCAGGCCCAGCTTCTAAAGTTTCCACAGCCTCCCAAAAACACCATGAGCTTTTTTTTTTTTTTTGGGGGGGGTGGGTATTTAAGATTCAAACCTTAACAGCTATTCTAAGATTACTGTCCCATATCTCACCCATAACTAGGCAAATTAGTTTGTGGGCAAAGATGAAGTCAGACATCAACCCTCGGAAGGTACTATCCACTCGAACTTACCTCTGAAAGCTGTATGTGTGTGTGGTGCTGGGATCAAACCCAGGGCCAGAGCACTCTATCATCTAAGCTCCCAGCCCACTAGTTTTTCTTGTTGTTTTATTTTTTATCCCTGAGATGTTTTTTTTTTGGTACTGGGAATTAAACTCAAGACTTTGTGCTTGCCAGGCAGGCGCTTGTGCCACTGAGTTATATCCCTGAGGTTCTAATGGTGATTAGCTACCATCCAAAAGGGAAGATAAGGTTTGCAATAATCTATTTGTGGATGCTCAGATAGAGCCAACTCAGTCCGTACCAGTTGGACATGCTACCCTTTTTATCTCTGCAGCTTTGGGACAGATTGGGGAAGTGAATCCTCAAGTGGTTGATCTCCTGCTCTGGGCTGTCCACTATGAAGAATCACCAGGTGTACGAGTGGAAGCTTGTCGTAGCATCCTGGCCCTCAAACTTCAAGGAGACAGGGTCAGGGCCACCTTCCTAGATGTGCTGCTTCTGGAGAACCATGAAGCTGTCCTCAAGTAAGCACTCAACTGTGGTGCCTGCCACAACCTCCTCGATGCCCTACTCTCCTGTCCTTGTTCACTAAGTCAATCCCTGCCTTTCCACGCTCCCTCGTAAGAGTGGTTAATGGTCCACTGTGCCACTCACTTACCCACCCAAATAGGTAACAGAAAAACCAGCCCATATTAGATGCCTAACTCAAATAGTCTGTGGGCTGGTCCCCCCCACTGACACACACACTCAGCTGGTTTTTGAGTACTCTATTCATATACTGCAATAAATTTATCAAGTACCAATTTTGTCAATAGGCTTTGGAGTGAAAAACTCTGATGTCTGAATTCCAGCCGTCACAGAATAGCTAGCTATGTGAGCCTAGGGAAGCACTTAAACTCACTGTGCCCATTCTTTTTTATTTTTCCAAGTATCAAATGGCAGATGACATAAATGGCAGTCTACATGACAGAGCTGCAGTGACAATAAAATGACATTTGACATCTGTCATGAAGTTCAATAAATAGGGCATTTTAGTACCTTCAAATATATTATTTCAAAAATTGCACAGTATAACTAGGAACCTCGGCAAAACTGGAGTTAGGACTAGAATTTAGGACTCTTGCTTAATTACAAGCTCTGTATTTTCTACCCTTTGCTTTTTTTAAGGACAAGGTAGAACAATACAAGAAGTCCGTCCTTCTCTTTCAGGGAAATTTACCAGGCAATGAAGATACTCAACTTAGGAAATGAAGAATACGAAGAAATGGTCCAGGAGGTCAAGAACAGGGTAAATAAGTACAATAAGAAAATAAGTACAATAAGTACAATAAGAAAAAATTCAGGGCTTGCAGGAGTTCCCGCGAGCCCTGAATTTTTTCTTACTCCTAAGCATGTATATGCCCTTCCCCTATCACAGAAATACTTCACACACCAAACACAGACACTGTATTGTTTGAAGATGTAAAACATATGTGCAAGTTGCGTTTATAAAATTCTGTTAGTATGAAGACAAAAACAAAAAGTTAGTAGTCCTAGCAAGTAACCCTCAAAATGAGGGCTTAAATTGTTTTTTACCATCTTTTTCCCTTCCTGTTTTCTCCCCACCATTCCCTAAATCCAAGTTTTTCCTTCTTTTTTGCATATGGGCATAAAGAAGGAATGAGAGATTAAACCTAGCCCCTTAAATTTCCTTTTTCCTTCTCAATTTTCCTTAATTCCTAATGTGGAAACTTTCACCAAAGGAACTCTCTAGGTAAAAGGGTTGTTCCAGTTTTTCAAAACTGTTACATGAGATGAAGGAACACAGGGAAAATGACTTAAAAATGGTAATTCACAAAATCAACTTCACACCAAGCAGGTATTTCTTAGCAGATTCCTTTCATCATGATCAAACAAGTAAAATCAAATTTTCATTAGCAGGTGTAAAAAAAACTCCAGCCATAATTTAAGATATCTATATATCACCTAACACTGATAAGCATAATAACAATGTTACTTTATTAATGCTTTTTGATGATTTGCTGCCTACAAATTTTTTTTAACATTTGTTTTAATCTAGATTGAAACACTAAACCAAAAGGACTTACTGACGCAGAAAATATTCAAGGTAGAGAGAGTCATAGCAAAAGTGAAAGAAGAAGCAAAACGTGTTTACTCACAACCCAAAGAGGGGCAAAAACCACTGAAACTCTGTACTTTTCTCCAAGAAACTTTTCAGGGTAGGTTTCCTAAGGGTGAATCCTATGCCTTAATTCCTTTTTAATAAAAATTATGTGAGACACAGGGTCTTGCTTTGTAGTCCAGGCTGGCCTCACTGGCAACTCTCCTATCTCAGCCTCCCAGTACTATAGGTAGCTGCCTTGACTCTAATAAACTTATTCCAGGCTGGGTGTGGTGGTTCATGCCTGTAATCCCAGCACTCAGGAGATGGAGGCAGAAGTGATGTAAGTTCGAGGCCAGCCCGGGCTACATAATGAGTTCAAAACCAGCCTGGACTACATAGCAAGACCCTGTCTCAAAAAATAAAACAATAAACCTATTCCAGGATATAGATTTGAGACTTGGTAGACAGTCTCATAGGATGAGAGTCAGGAAAGGCTACTTCCTTTTTTTCTCAGCCACCATCTCCTTCTCTGTTATTTTTTACCCCATGTCTACCAGGTTTACTATTTGCTATTTTTGCCTCCTTAACAAAAGGTAGCTCTACGCAAACAGATTGAAAAGTTAGGTCAAAAATGGACAACTTAGAAAAAGCAGAAGTCTTTATAAAACAAAACAAAAAACTGTAAGCCTGATTTAGCACCCAAAAATGCCTTAGAAGAGGGATTCGAGGGAGAGCTATCATTTTTATTCACATATATCTATGCTTTTGTAAATTCTGTCTGTGCTGTGCTGTGCTGGGGATTGAACCTGGGGTTTTGCACAGGCCAGACAAGCACTCTTAAAGCCACATCCCCAGCTGCTTTTGTAAATATTTTTGAGACAGCGTTTTGCTATGTAGTTCAGACTGGCCTTGAACTAGCAATGTTCCTCCTGCCTCAGCCTCCTGAGTGCCAGGATTAAGGTGTGCACCATGCCAGTCTTGTAATATTTTTTTAAAAAGACTTTAAAGTTCTCACCCTTAAAAAACTGGCCCTATCAGTTATGATGATAGGTTCTTAGAGTCGTAGATATAACCTAAATAATGAGGGTGCAGAATCAAGCTGTACCAAAATAATACTTACAAAATTTGTGTGCCCAAGCGTAGTAGCAGCCTCAGGTCACTCAGCCAGCTGCCTACCAGCCACCACCCCAAACCCAGGTCTTCTGGTTCCAACTCCAAGTGCTCTTTCTGGTACAACAGGCTCTTTTCCAGCAACCATGAGAATATTCACTTGCCAGATTTGGGGAAGTTTCTTCCAACTGCCAGGAAAAAATGAGAGTGGAAAGTAACTTGAACACCAGCCTTCCCTCATGGGCAGCTTGCTAAAAGTTGGTTGACTAAGACCTATGACAGCACAACTAGGTGACAGGCTGCCCCTTTGGGAACAGTACCAGACAATGATGTAAGCAAGCACTGAACAAAAACGTAATATATACTGTTAAAGCTGACTCTGCTTTGGAGTTTAAATAGAACAATTAAAATAAGTAAATTACATCCAAAGTTAAATTACCCTCATCAGATGAGTTTCTCTTCCTTAATTTTTGCATGCTGGTGCTAGGGATCTAGGGATTGAACCCAGGGGTTATGTGTGCTAACTATACGCACACCCCCCAGCCCTCTCCTTTCAAGTTGATTAACATGCTCCTTTTACATCCTGCAGGCACTTCAAATTACTTATCACCCCTCCCACATTTCTTCACACCAATCCACATAATAATCTACCTTAGAAAAGAGAAACATTCTTTGGCATTTTAATAACATACAAACTTATTAACATGATACTGACCCCAATCCTCCCCCAAACTGCTGAATGAGAATGCAAATGAAAGATACAACTTCCAAATAGAAACTTATAATGTCTCAAGCACAGTGACAAAACCAGTGCTCACAGTACACAGACGCCTAAGGGGAACGAAGCTGGTGCTCTGAAATGAAGATCCCTTCTGCAGAAATAACTTTTGTTTTCCTCCTCCAACATCTGCTTTTACTTTTGTACCTAGATGAGGTGCTTCTTCCCAGAAGACCGTCACAGGTTTGTGACATTGAAGAAGTCATAAAGGTAAATGTGATCATACTGATGGCTATCAAGGTAAGAACAGGAATTAAAAACAAAACCAAAATGGAGGTGGTGGTAGTGCTGAATTACTACTGTCTTGTTCCCAGCAATCAACAAGGAACTAGTTTTGAGCTAGAGGCACTTTGGTGAGTAGCAGCCCCTTATCATACAGCATGGTTGCCAAAGACAGCTGGTCCTCCACACTGTCACAGGGTAGGTCCCCTACTCTCACAAACTCTGGGTAGGAGTGAAGCAAGAATTCCATGGCATCAGCTTGCTGGGGGCATATTTCCAAGCACTTGGGTTCCTCCAGATGATAAACGCGAGAGTTTTCCACCGTGTAATAGAGAAACAACTGGCCCCCCTCACCCACCAGGCGAGCTATCCCATCCTGCAACATGTGGACTTCCGTTTCGGTTGTCAACTGGGCACCCACGTTTACTGGTTGTCCAGCCTCCCAGCGAATTGGGAGCCCGTGAACACTTAGTGCCCTCTCCCTATCAGTCAACACAGGCGGCAGAGAGTCGTGGATGAAGTCTTTGGCTCGCTGATCAGCCACAGCATCAACAGGTGCAAAGTGTCCAAGGCGGGCAACCAAGACCCGTACCTTCTCCATGAAGGCGGTTCTTCTCGGATCCTTAGAATCCGAATGCTGGGCACCCATGTAATCCATGAAGTCTCGGGGCAGACCCCTCCGGAACTCCACGTTTTCTTCCATTGCAGCCTGCACAGCCAGGGGCAGAATGGCCTCCAGGAAGTCGCCCCAAGTGTTGCGCTGGTACGTGGACAACGTAAGGTGCAGAGAGTGCACTCCATCCTGGCATTCAGCTTGGTGAATGAAGCCGCGAGGGAAATAGAGTAAATCCCCAGGTTCCAGCACGGTCTGTAGCACCGGCTCACCAAGGTCCTCCTGGCTGAAGTTGGGGCTAGATGTCAGAGCCAGTTCTTCACCTGGGACACGGGGACGGTAGACACGCCAGAATTTCCTACCTTCCAGCTGCAGCACGAATGCCTCGATGTCGTCGTAGTGGGGCGCAAAGCCCTGCGAGTTGGGGGGCGTGAGGTAGACGTTGGAGCCTGCCATGCTTCCAAACTGCTCCTGGAGCACGGCCAAAAACTGCCACACGGTGGTCGAGAAAGCCTGCGGACAGAGGAGGCGCAGGGAGCAGCCGGCCTGGTACAGCGACCACGCTGCAGCGGGCAGCGCGCGGCCCGGCGGGTTCAGGGTCTCGCGCCTCCCGTCGACGTAACGCGCGGCGTCCAGGTGCTGCCCAAACTGCACCTCCTCGTGGCGCAGGATCGCGTCCAGGTCCGCGGTAGAGAAAAGGCCCTGGTAGTAGGCGTGGTCCTGCCGCCGCACCAGCACCGCCTCCCGCTCCCAAAGGCGCCGGTAGAAATGGTCCGGCGGCATGGGCGCAATGAGCCACTCGAAGAGGCGCGCCGCCCGGCGCCGGCTGCTGGGGATGCGGCTCAGCTCGGCCAAGGCGCGCTGCAGCGGCGAGTCCCACGGCCGCTCCCGCCC